GTGTGAACCTAGCCTAACTAAAAGACACTGTGCTATCTCCCACCTACAAAAATGTATATTAATATCAGTGAATCAAAAAATGTTGGAATTCACATGTAGATAAAAAACAAACACAGAATTTTCATCCCCTAAAGTTGCAAAACATCATCCTATATAATAATAAATCCAACTCCCTGAATGCTCCTTCATATAAATCCTCACTACAGAGTAAGCAGCAGAGAAATAGTGCCGAACTAAATAACCTGCTATTTATACCATTAATCAATGTAGATATATTCATCCATGTGGATCGTCTGAATGAGGTGCCAGTGGGTGCGCCCTCCCCCTCCTGAGCTCCGCTGTGCCCGGTGCAGGCCTGTGACAGGGGATCAGAGGGAGATCAGCCCTCTCCCTCCAATCACCTCTCTGGTGTCAGAATGCAGGAAGTGACATATATTATGTCTCTTCCGCATACTGCTGTCACTCTCCGGCTTCAGAAGCTGATAAAGCAGATCTGAGAAGATGATAAAGCAGATCTGTGCTTCCGGGGTCCCAAGCTGACAGGGGTCTTAAAGACCCCTGATGTCTATATAAAGAGGACATGTCGCATCATCTTTGCTATCGCATAGGGGGCTTCTTGGTCCCTATGTGATTACAATAAAGGTAAGTGGAAAAAATGTTTTACAAATTTAAAGGTGCAAAAAAAAATAATTAAAGTCACACATAAATAGAATTTACCCACCCCCACAAAAAATGTTTAAAGTCCCCATGCCCCACATAAACCAACGCAAACATGCGTTGCGAAAACGACGATTGAATCTATTATGCAGCACATGTTGCATATCAACGCGAACGTTGGAGTAAGAGCAATCATTCTAGGGCCAATTATTCACTGATAACACTAAACTGATGAGCGGTAAAAGCTTTTAACCTCCCTGGCGGTATGATTATTCAGGATTTTAGCATCCCAAAGCGGCACATTGTTTTTCATGGAAATTTGTTGTTTTATATTGTAGGCCCGTAATTCTTAGGAATAACTCACCTAAATCTGTCCAAACAAGAGTCCAGTAGACATCCCAGGTATGATAAAGTTTGAAACCGGAAATTAAAATTATAATATAATAAATTATAAATAATTATAAGAA